TTTTTCTTTCTTATAATTTTGTTTTTTTATTTTTTTTTTTTTTTTAGAAAATAAATGGAGAGTAATGAGAGATAGGTATTACGGTAATTACAATTGAAGAAAATAGTGGAATTTTAAAGAAATGGGAGAAAGGGAGAAGGGTAATATGGTAATTAGGGAGATGGACGTTGAAATGGGGGGAATATAAGGTAGAGAAATAGCAATCAACGGATAGAGAAGTGGACACTCAGCGCACGCCAAGAATCGATAATGGTGGATGAGACGAAAAGTAAAAACGGTGCGTTTACTTTAGATCTTTATTAATTTCTGGATCAATAATGAGAAGGAACACACGTGTTATCCGGTGTCGTGTGTGGTCTATAAAAGGGGGGAGAGGGGGAGTCGGGTCCACACGGGTGGGGCTAATTACTGGCTGGATCCAACCCATTTAATAATACGAGTGAACCACGTAGAGATACGGGGCCGTAAAGAAAGCCCAAGGTTGGGTTTTGTTGCTCAACTTCATCTAATGCTTCCACATATGGTTCACCCATCAATTTCATTTTATTTAAAATTGTAGACATAGAGTAAAACTTTTTATAGTCATAATGTGGGACAAAACTCATTTTATTACTATAAAGAGATTATAACTAATAAATGTATAGCTATAAAAATTATTATTACTACAAACTTTGCTATTTGCTCGCCTCAAACCTAACCCAACCTAGACCAGACTAGACCTAGACCTAGACTGGTATCCTAAGATTTAGGAACTGAAACTTCAGTTCTGGTTCTTAAATGCCTGGACTGGAATGTGGTACAGGGTCGGGTCCAAGTACTAGACATTGTTCACATAAAATTAAATAAACCCCTCATGTTCGAAAATAACAAATACACCCTGTGAAAATTACAAATACCCCAACTGTTTATATAATTACAAATATACCTCGGTACCTAGGCATGGCAATGTTCCCCGAGATTTCGGGGACCCGTCCCGCCCTGCCCTAATGGGGCGGGGAAGCCCGGTTTTTTTGGGGAGAGGGCGGGGGTGGGGGTGGGGGGTGTTTTATCCCCGTCCTCGGGGATGGGGCGAGGGTGGGTGATACCTTTCCCCGGCCCGCCCCGCCCGTATATAATATATAAAATTAAAAAAATGTTATAATATATTTACTTCACAATATCCCTATATTTCACATAATTACACAATTATCCTTCCTATAAAACCCATATTTTTCTATTCCCTCACCCTAAACAATAAACAAGAACAAACATTGACCCATATTTATGTATAATTAATTATGTTTAAACGATAATTTAAGTGTTTGTCATGTGGACGAGAATTAACTATGTATTTGGTAATGCTCAAAATAATTTTTGTTATATAAAATTAACGGGGCGGAGACGGGCCTCCAACATTCCTTTGGGGCGGGGAAGGGGAATCCTGTCATCCTTGTAACGGGGATGGGGTAGGGGTGGGGAATGATTTTGAGGGTGGGAATGGGTACGGTGAATGAGATCCCCGCCCCGCCCCGCCCCATTGCCATGCCTACCGGTACCTAGGGGTGCAGTCAAACCGAGTAGCTCGTGAGCTACTCGGATTCCACTCGTGACGAGCTCAAGTTCGACTCGTCAGAGAACGAGTATTTCACGAGTTCGAGCTCAACTTCAAGCTCGTGAAAAATGTCGAGCTTTTCGGGCTCGATTCGAACTGTTCGCGAGCTGGTTCGAATCACTCAAGACGTCATTTGAGCAAGAGAGCTCGTGAGATCGAGGTAAGGTTTCAGCTCGTGAGTCAAGGCCATTGACGCAGGTGTCGCAGGAGAGGAGGTCGAAGGTAAAGCTAAGATCTGCGTAGTAGTAGATGACGGTGGGGTGGACTCCGATGGTGGTGAGTAGTTTCCTCATGACGTAGATCGACTGAAGATTATGACTGGGTGGAGATGAGGAGTTGGATTTTGGTCTCAGCAGATTCGACTGAGAAGTTAGTGGGAAGGGCGATGGAAGAAGAAGAAGAAGAAGAAGAAGAAGAAGAAGGGTTCAAAACGACGTCGTTTTGTTAAATCCTTATAAATAGCCGAGCTCGAGCTCATGCGCCAGAGCTCGTCGAGCTCGAGCTCGAGCTCGTGCTCCTAATACATTCAAGTCGAGCTCGAGCCAGCCACTACTCGGCTCGGCTCGGCTCGGCTCATATGCACCCCTACCGATACCTATCAATTCCACCCCAAGTACCCAGACCTCGATCCCAGTTTCCGTTTCCATATCCGGTTCCTGAAGTGATGGAACTAGACTCGAACCCACAATGCCAATTTCAACAAATTTGGAATCTAAACCGACAACCATAGTAACTGTAGATTTCAATTCTACCCTAAAAATTTGCTCACTGTTGCTATATATAGGATATTGCTGTAGAGAGATTTTACTTTATATAATAATAATAAATTCTTTGAATTTGCACCCAAGGTTGAGTGAAATCCCAATGTAATACCATTGGTTTCATTTATTCCAAATACCCACCCTTAAATTAACACCATTTCCTTTATTTTAACAGTGAAGGGGCAAATTGGTCTTTTTTTTTTCCCTCTTTCCTTCCCATTTCTTCCCCAGTATGCATCCTCCTCTCATCTTCTTCCTCTTCCCTTTCCCTTTATTCCTTATCTCCACCTCCTCCTCCCATCTTCTTCTTTTTCCCTCCACACCTCCTCCCCGACGCCTCACCATCCCAACCCACTCCCCTTTTCGCCGTCACCCTTCACCTCAAGTGTTGCACTTCGCCAACTTCTTTCCAGCAGCCCCATCACCAAAAATCTTCATCAAACCCACCATTTAACTCATCAAAGAGCCCTCTCCAATAACCCCATGATTTCCATCCCCGATTTCTCACCTTTCAACACCGATTTAAGCCCCCTCACCCTAGGGTTTCTATTTTGTTTTTTGCTTTTGCTTTTGCTTTTGCTTTTGTATTTTGTATTTTGTTTTTCTTGTTGAAATGGTGTGATTTTTGGTGGTTGCTATTGGGTTTGGAATGGGGTGATTTGGTCGAATGTGGTGGTAGTTTGGATGTTGTGGTGGTTTTGGGATGGGGTGGTTTGGAATGGGATGGGGTGGTTTGGAATGGGATGTGGTGGTGGTGGTTTGGCCAGCTGTGGGATTTGGAATGGGGTAGTTTGGATGGCTATGGTGGTGATTTGGGATGGGTTGGTTTGGAATGGGTTCTGGTGGTGGTTTGGCTGGCTATGGTGGTGCAGTGGTGGTTTGGCTAGCTATGGTGGTACCGTGGTGGTTTGGAATGGGGTGAAGGGCAGTTTAGTAATGACATCCGTCAGAACCCAATAGTCACTAACTGTGTTAATTTAAGAGTGGGTGTTTGGAATAAATGAAACAGTGAGTATTAACTTAGGTTTTAGCTAAACCTTAGGTGGGAATATGTTGTTTACTCATTTTATAATTATTCAAAGTTTGAGAAATTAAAAACATCAAATCAAGATTTGAAAAGTTTACAAGATAAGAATGGTTTTCAATTGTTCACGTGAATTAACAGAAGTTGAACTTGTGACTTGTCAATATCATATAAAATTATTTGTCTCTTTATATAATATTCTACATTAGTTCCATTAAATGTATAAATATATGAGGGATAAGAAGCTGCATGGAGCAGAAGAATGCCTTGAATCTAGAAATGGAGCCCAAATAGAGGATTGGGTTTGAAATCCCAACTCCTTGACCTCAATACCGTAAATTTTGCATCAAATTTTGAGCTCCACCGGCTCCAATTTGACTTTATAGTTTATATTAGGGCCCTATTGGTGGTAGGCCTGGCCATAATATTAAGCTTAGCTCTAGGTAAATGGTGACAATCCTCTTGTGTCCAATTTAGCAGTCAAATACGTAAGTACTATCAAAACCCTCTTTTCTAGGCTCTAACTTCAATCCATTATGTTTAAATGAATTGAAAGTTTCTAGGCTTCCGGGTCTCCATGTATTTTTCATTAAACCTATTGATGGAGGCTGAAAGAATCAACCACAGCTCCAACTTGTTTGGCAGCAATGAATAACAGAGATGGAACAAAACAAAAAACATGTAACTTTTTGCAGGAAGATTTGATGGGTAGGGGGCCAAAAGGGATTAAATTTCAACTAAATCTTTTGTAACTTTATGGTGGCGTGGTATTTTTTTATGAGAGTTTCAACCAGGCATTATATTTGTGGGTCTCAACTGGAGCCAAGCCACCAGTTTTCATATGCAATTTCCCCATTTTTCAGATTCAATTATATGTGTTGAAATTAGTGTTACCACCTACTCAGTAATTAAAGAATTAGTTTGCTTTCATTTTGGCTACTCTCATCATTCTCCCCCACCATTACTTAGCCTACCCTAAAATCTACGATTTCATGATTTTCTTCTATTACTTTCTTTTCATCAAATTAATCAACAAAACTTACTTTATCAGCGACATATATAGTCAATCTCTAATGTATATATCCTGTAATTTTTAACGTGTGGATCAAAGATGAGCATTCAACTCACCCATGAATAGCCCAACAGTAAGGGCAAACTAAGGGGGCTGCAAATGGATAGAACTCATAGTCTTAGGTTCGATTTTTTGCTAAACGCCCTATGATGGCAATGGATTGTTATGAGATAACTCCATCTGAAGATTAGTCGAGGTGTATATAAAAAAAAAAAAAATTAACAGATGGGCATTTGGTATCAAATCAAAAAGGTTAAAAGAAGTCTAAATTTAACTATTCAAAATGACATTGGTATAAATTTGCGTGAAATCACCAAAAATCTGAATGATGGTTAGAATCTTTACATTCGGGTAAATTTTAATTTTGTTATTGAAATTCTGGTTTAATTAGGAAGTTTTATTTAATTATGGAATTTTTTTCACTTATTCATATTATCTGTGATTGGTCATAAAGGGAATTAATTGTGAGTAATTGAAATTAAAGGAAAAAATGGGGTCTTATAATATTCTCTTCCCACCAACTGATCCACTTTCAAAAATCTCTCCCGCAAACTTTGCTCTTTTTTCTTAACCGCTCCACTTCTCTGCTCATTCACCGAAATTTGAACGTACGTAATCTACAGTTTCTTTCCATTTTCACATTCTCATTCTCCTTCAATGGGAAGAGTAGCAGATTCTGATATCAAATCCCGGTTAGTCTCAGAGATTTTCTCCTTTTCTACAACCTCCATTGACTGTTCTCATAGACGTAGTTCTACTACCACTAACACTAGCTTCGTTGAGTCACATTTCATCGACTGGTATCGTCTTCTTGGTGTATGTTTCTTTCTTCGTCTTTATAATAAAATATTTTGATCAATCTTTTTCCGGGGTTCTTTTTTTAATTCAAGATATTGTGTTCATGAGATTTTTATTTTCACAGGTTGGAGAAGATGCAGGAATAGATGTTATAAGAAAGCGGTATCATAAACTTGGTGAGTTAATTTGGTGATGAAGAAATTATAATATCATTTGGTAATTAATATGCAAGAATGGTTTTTGTGTATTTAGCTTTGCAGCTTCATCCTGACAAGAACAAGCACCCCAAAGCTGAGACTGCCTTCAAGCTTATTTCAGAGGTTAGATTTCTCATTTTTCATCTTCTGTCTGGTAGATTAATAATTTTCGTGAAAATGTATAAAAGATTATTAATGGTATTAAAGGGTATATGAAATTTTATGAAAATCTGATGATGGAGAGGAGAGAAAGAATGGGCCTGTCCTATTTTCACGCAGACCTAGGCTGCTAAATCTGGATTTGATTCACAGGTTTCAGGCAGAACCCACCTAAATTATTTAATGGAAGAGAGAAAGAGAACCCAGTAAAGTAAATGTTGTTGATTGATGCCATAATAGTCTGCATTATTCGATTCTCAAGTCTCCAGAAATGGTTGAAATAGTCACTATGTAGGGTTGTCCCGCGAGACAAATCCATAAAGATGAATTGTACATCATTCAATTTGACAACAGAATTTGGTTCATAACAACACATCTCTCGACATGAAAATTTTGAGATACTATTCGAGTCACGTAACATTGTTCTTATTGATTGATTGATTATGATTTACCTTCTTTATGGGATTCTAAAATGGAAGGATACAATTTGTCTGCAGGCATATACTTGTCTCTCAGACAATGCCAAGAGAAGAGCCTTTAACTTGGAGAGATGGAAAAAGTTCTGCATTGAATGCAACAGAATCCCCTACACAAGCTGCAAGTCATCCCCAAAGGTCAAGGATTGGAAGCCTGCAAACTTTTCAAGATCTTATAAAATTCTGAGAAACCTGAGGAACATTAAGGAAAGGTTCAGAGAGGAGGCCAAGGTGATAGAGAACTGTTTGAGTGCTAATGCTACAACATCAGGAAAAGAATTTCCATTCTTCAGTTCAACAGAAAATCTACTCCAAAGTCAGCACAGGACCCCAAAGGAGTCCCCTATATTCAACCCGTCTGACTATTGCTTCCAAGGCTACCCGCATCTCAGGAACAGAATATACATGAAACCAGACAACTTTTGGTACTTCCATAGAGAAAGTATACATAAATATGGAAAGGGAAGGGAAGTGCATGATTCACCAATCTTTGAGAACAGATCAGAAAGGGAAATGTATAAAAGCAAATCTACTTGTGTTCGTTCATAGCTAAGAAATTTGATTAACAATTTAAACATTTCTTTAATAAAATACAGCTCAATTAGCACTTGATAAGAGTGCTTATTGTTTTTTTCACATTACTTAATCATGCTACTTTTAATGTATATGGCCGTAGGTACATTGCAATCCGACAGATAAAAGAAGAAAGTTAAAAATAGTAACCCTTCGACCATTAAAATGTAATGAATTGACAACTGAAAATTTGTGTCAAAATTTTAAGTTAACAGAACCAAATCCATATTTAATATATCAAGAGTTTCATAACTTCAAGCGTAACAGATTAAAAGTAGAAAGCGGACAAAATGGGGTTAAAACTAGAACATCAGTATCTCTACCGTACATGTTTTATAGAATTTGTTGCTCGATCACATGTATGCATGGCAGATCTATCATTCGTTATGCAATACATCTATTTCATTTGGGAAAAAAAATAGTGTTATCCTGAAGAAAAAACCTTGATCTCTTTTTCAACTAAACTTGAATACAAATGCAATTGTTTACTCTTTTTATGTTGCATTACATCTTGTAGATCTCTTCCTAAGCAAAATTGAATACAAAAATAATCAGCCTGTGATCCAAAATTATGCAACGTCTGTTCCATTGACAAGGCAAAAATTCCTGCTCTTTCCACAACATGGGATTAGCACCCTAACCTTCATGCGCAGCTTTCTTAGCTTCAGGGATTTTGAGAATGACTCTATCTAATAAAGGTTGCAACTCCTTTTTCGCCAACTCACGGACCTTAGAATCAGAGGATTCCAAGAATGCACTGACTACCTTGCAACTGCAACAAAAGCAAATTGAGTCAATATTATCAGAAATCACATTTTATATTTCTTATTGTTAATTAAAGAAGCAGAAAGCAAATATAGCCTCACCTGTGACCTTGGGCCCACACTTCACACTTCCCTTTCAAAGCTTTCTTCCATAAAGTGGAAGCAAAGGTGGGGCAGTCCATGACCAATTTCCTAATGGTGCGGCTGGAATGGAAATTTTCAAGGGTGTGCTCCTCTTCAGATTCTTCAGATTTAGACTCTGCTGTAAGAGATGCTACAGCTTCATGCAAGGTGTTCAACTTGTCATCCAATGTGGGGCGGAGAATGTCATCAGAGCCCCCTCTTGCAACCTGCACACATCATTTTTTACTACTCGAGATATTGGAGACTAGACAAGTACTATAAGTGCCATTCATACAAACACATTTATACTTGAGTGGGAGGGGTACGAAAAGTTAAGACAAACTACAACCAACATTGGGAAAAACAAGAAGCAGCAATAAGAACTCTTTGACTTTTCAATCCCAACACAAACTTTCAGCTAAGAAACAATAGAAATTAGGGTACATATCAGCAATGAAAGAATTGACTACCTCATACAATACTTCTCTGCCAAAATTTGATCTAAGTAATTCTCCAGCATTCTCAATACATATGTCAATGAGACTCTGCAACACAATCAGATCATACCCAGTCAGATGCAGGTTTCTCAATAGAAGCACTCAAGCTAGATAGTATACATCATAGATGCATAAGCACCAATTATAATACAAAACTATACATAAAGAACAGAAATTCACACATATGTGTGCACATAAACAAAATTTTCAGGTTAAAGAAACAAACCTCCGCAAGTCCACTGTTGACCAACAACTCTTGCCTTCTTAGGTAAGGGTCTTTTTTCCCACCCTCAACTAAATGAAGGTCCTCACTGGGACTTGTACTTTCATCAGCCCGAACTGCTGCCTCTCCTTGGTCAGCCATCTCATCATTAGATTCCTCATTCTTTACAGACTTAATTTCAGAATTTACTTGTGTCTCGTCCTGATAGTGTTGGGGTGGGAGGAGGGAGCAATATCAGAGTAAGTTTCAGTACTTCAACTTCACTAGTATAAGATAATCTAGAAAAGATAGCTATGGTATTACCTTGGCAGATAGAGAAGAAATAAATAAATTGAGGGAAGCCAGATCATCAGGACTGAGATAACGTGAACAATTTGGATGAAGCAGCTGGAGTAGCACGCGTCTTCCATTCTGAAATTTATGGAAACCACTTATGAACCAAGAATTATCCAGGAATAAAATTAAATTTGGAGTATTCTATGTAACATCTCCTGATAACATTACTGTGAGCATGGCATAAATCCAAGAAGAAATTCATCTTAGTGTTTGCTAAAAGTATTAAAAATACATACTAAATATTAAACCCCGGCCGATTGCAGGGGTTCAGTGAGTGGGTGGGGGATTGAAAACTCTTCTAAGAGGTCCAAAGAATCGCAGTAATACACTTTCCAAGTAACAATGTGGGTTGAATAAAAAAACATTAAACTAGAATCAAAGCCTAAATGTAAATTAAACACCTAGTAGACCATCCTATTTCCCATCTTGATTAAATATATATCAGACCTTCTCTGTAATCAACTATCAACATGATATAAAAAGTGTAGAAAGAGCAGAAACCTTATCCAAAACAAGCTCTTTTAAATTTGTTTGAAGCTCACGAAGGACAATCTGTAATCAAGAGAGTTTTAATTAGAAGCTCCATGACAAAGATACATGGTAAATACATAGCGTCAAACTCAAGACACAATTCACAACAAACCTTAGTTATAAGCTTTGTGTCATCAACAATTGAAACAATACAGAGAAGTACCTGAAAAGTAAATAATGTAGGGTAAAAGATGGTTCAGAATTATTAACTGATTTTACATCTGCCAAAAGAATGAAATTTGATGGTTTGAATCCCAAAGGCAGTCCTTACCAGTGACCCACATTGATCATGAGCAATCTTGCCAATGTGCCCCTTCATTCCTTTAATTATTTTTTTCCTTTCCTAGAATAACAACATCAAACAACTCACAGGTCAATATTAGTCAGAACCTCACATGATATAATCAAAGGAGAATACAAGATTCTTCTGATTATTAGTTTTCTAAAATCTTCGATCCAAGGCAACAAACCTTAGCACTCCCATGCTTGACACAAAGTATCCCAATCTTAGATCCATCCCTGGTATGGATCATACGAACAAGGAGTGGACCTGATAACTGTTGAATTATATCTGCGGCAGAGGTCTATCAACAAAATTTGCTTTAGAAAGAGAAGAAAATTGCAAGTGAAGAAAATGCTTCTAGAGAAATCCTAGCAATTTTAATGAAAGCATACAAAAATCTCAAACACACCTTGTCGGCTATGCTAAAGTACTCCATTAAGACCCTATGTATGATAGAGTGGTCCACAATTCCTTTCTCTAGAATTGGTTGAATCACTGAAGCCATATGTCGTAAAACCGAAGCTTTCTGTAGGCCTAGCTTTGAAATTACATCAACCAACCTAGCACATAATGAAAAAAATTACTGAATGATTGTCTGAGAAAGGTATCATGAGCCCAAGATCATGCATAAGAAATTCTAAGTCCAAATGAAGTCCCCCAGTAAAGCCACCAACTCTTAAAAGAAACCCCCAAATGCCCAATATGCTACATGATAGTTGTCAATTCTCACAAGAGACTGCAAAAATAATAATAATAATAATAATAATAATAATAATTATTATTATTATTATTCCCATCTATCCACCAAAAGAAAAGAAAATTTCAAAAGTAAACTTTCAATATTTTGCTCTTTCCTGCCAAAGAAACTCTCCCTAGGTACACCAATACAGTTATGCCCATGACTAATCAATGAAAATTGATATGAGAATATGAAAAAGGGGAAAACAATAATAGAATACTCAGATTTTCACTTCTTATTGATGTAACTGTAATGCTGAAAAAGATTAAATTATCTTGATGATGGAACAGAGTGACTTGATGGTTTACCTGCTCTCTTTGATTGATACCAGGTCCTTAAACAATTGAAGCTCGGTAGAATACAGTTCAACTAGAAGCTCATGTTTTTGAGTTGCATTTGCCAACTGGTATGCATGCTCAATGACTGCAAAGAAAAATAAAAAAGAGCAGGAATTTTCATCAAGATTTATTACTGGAAATACATCAAAGTCAAGCATAAGTCCATCTAAGTTATATTAAGCAATGATTAACCAAAAAATATTTCATCATCTTTTCTTGGCTTAATGAAGATTGAACTAGATACTTGGTTCTACAACCACAGCTATACCACTTGAGTTAATGCCCAAGGGCAAGCTGTGAGAATGATTATAGCCATATTTGGGTGATTATGCCCTTTGCATAAACAGAAGATTAAAAAAAATAGAAAAAAAACCCAAATTAACAAGCACGCACCAACAGATCCAACCATGTGTCGAAGAAGAGATGCAACATGACCATGAAGGGCTGAGATAAACCGCGCTAGCTGTTTCTTAGAAGCTGCAAACATTACAGAAAGTATCTATATATAATCAGAATACAGAGGGTTACACGACTCAGAAAAACATATATCAATTAGTCCTCAAAGTACACCCATCAAGGGGCAATATTACATTTACAACCTAATCTCACAAACTCGATGTGACAGCTAGTAATGGGTCCTGTTTGCCCAATCGCGGATCCCACCTATCCAATTGCGAGCTGTCACATCAGGGTTGTGAAAGAAAGTTTGTAAGATTGGATTGCGAGCCAATCTTTATTGTTTCTCTACTGACTGTCCAAAGCTAAATCATACCACTATCTAACATTTTCTTCTCGAGATGAACTGCATAGGTGTTATCAGCAAGGGTTAGAAAATGTGGTTGAAGCTCCTCAAAGACAGCATCTCTTTCGGTTTGTGAACAGTACTTAACACAAGTCTGAGGTGAAAGAATTGTCATTACTACAGGCTACTAAACTATCAAATGCACAATTTCAGACGATCCATCTTTTACAAGCCCAAAAAGTTACCTGCAAAACTCGAGAAGAAACATGGGAGCCAGCAATTTCTGGAATCTTTCCTTTCATCTTTTGTACGGCTTCACTTATCAGCCTTATAGTAGTTCAGGAAAAAATATAAAAAATCTTAGAAAATTGTGAGCCAGAATATAAAAGTACAGAGACAAGCATGCCAATATGGAAAGAACCTTGTCTGTTACATTTGCACCAAAAAACATACTTAGATCTATCTTCTTTAGCAATATTGCGTTGCCTCATCTTTTCCCACAAAGATGCAAGCTCCTATTAAGAAAAGAAAAGAAACTTGCTTTAGTTGATGGTCATGATAAACTCCCTTTGTGAGCTGCTGAACAGGTTTTAATCAACTCAAACAGAATAACATATGCTTAATTACTCTTGTCACTTCTCTACAATGCTTGATCATCAATTTATGCACGAGGGAATGGATTGATTTATATTGATTTTGTTTTCCATAACAATATTTTTAGCCATGCAGGACTAACACTCGATTATCAGCATAACAAACTTTCATGTAGAGTTGAGCTATAGATGTACTTTTATGAACTAGAATAACTTAATTGTGAAATGAAATAAATAAAATTTCAACAGCAATTAATAAGAAGATAAGTAAAGGCTAAAATAAGGATGAGACGTACTTGTTCCAGATCATAATGTCTCTTCCTCTTCTTCTTCCTAGCCTCCGCAAGTTCCTACAATTAAAAAACAAACCAGAAAATATGAGAAATAGAAAATTTAAGTTAAAGTTCACCTCTAATTCAATATCAGTTCATTTATGCGAACAAAACTAAATATACCAACAACCACTAAAAAAAATTAAAACTGGAAGTGGAAAAATTTTAGTCATGTCACCAAATGAACATAAGCAGCAAACCTTAAAAATATATACTAAACTATAATAGCACTTAAACTACGTAGATAATTACATATACACGAAAACCTGTAAAAAAATTTATATGAAAACAAAAATTAAAACCCACCTTGGCATGAAGACGCCGTTCTCGTTTCGATTTGGGCACTGTCTGTTCTTCATTAGCGTCTTTGTTCCCAAACTTTGGTTTAAACGGGTTTTGTTTTTGTTTGATTGGATTGAAAGGTTTGTTAAACTCCTTGTTTTGAGGAGTTTTTGAAGGTTTTGAAGCGGTGACTTTTGGCTTCTTAGAAGTGGAAGCATTTGGATGGACTTTAGCACCTGCGTTTAGCTTTCTCTTCTTGAGTTTGTTAGTTTCTTGTTGGTTCTTCGCCGCCATTGAAGTTTAGCGCAAGAAATCTTTTCACTTCTTTTCCTCTGGCCAGTAATTGTGATTGTCTGTGTTGGGGGGTTTTTTGAGGGTTTTTGGACCAGAGTTTGAGTAGCGTGTTTCTCTTCGGGTAGGGATGGATGTAAAACGGGCTGAATATGGGCTTCCATTACCCACTCGGCCCAATATACACAATCAGCCCACTAAAAATTTAACGTGATGTAAGAGAATTACGATATTATGAACCCATCCTATAGTTTTGACTCGAAATGTTATTACAAACCCAATTGGAGTTTGGACCTAGTTTGAATTTGGTAACGGCATGTTGTTGGGTCGTGCCTAAATTTCTATCTTATAAGTCTATTTGTAGGCAATATATTTATTGTGGTATAATTTGTTAGTGTCCTAGCATATGAATTTGGTAATGTGTAAATATAGCAATTAAATAATCCCCTAACTCTCAACATTTAAGCTGATAATCATGACGGTAGGATGTTGTCCTAATCAACTATAAGGATTAATTGAGGCAAGTTGACCGGGACATCATGTTTTCAAAAAAAAAAAAATATATATATATATATATATGTTCATGTAGGGATTTACATCAACCAGGACTACGTGATTGATTGCATTTGAATCATGTTGGTTGTGCGCATGATCCTAATGGATCAGCGATGAAAACAATATGATGATAGATACTAGAATTAATCTAGAACACAAAGAATAAAAAAAAAAAAAAAACTTTTTAAAGTAGTTCAATGGCTTGTAGTGTAACACCTTCGTCCACTATTATGTTATTGAATATATCGAACAATAACTCGATTTACAAAGAGTCGCAATTTGCTTTCTACGACTTGTTTCTTTTATTATCTCTAAATAAATATTACAATTGGGTATAGTGTCACTTACCAGTTGAGTTGGAGATAAACTTAAATTCGTTTAAGCGGTAAGTCCGCAATCACTGGTCTTGATCGTGAGATCCATAACGCGAGATTTTGCTTGCCAACTGGGATTGATCCGGTCCAAATTTCCTGTACAACAATGCCAATTAAAAATGAGAAAGTTTATAATATTATGGGATTTCACAACCTTCATGGTACTATAAATTATTGTATAATATTTATATGAGTTAAAACATGAGAAAGTTTATAATATTATGGGATTCCACAACATTTGTTATGGTACTATAAATTATGATATAATATTTATATGAGTTAATGACTTTTTTCCGTCTAAATAATGGTTTAATGATACTTTTCTACCCACAAACTTTTAAAATACTACTTTATTACTCAAATTTATATTCAAACGGCGAACAGAGAGCAAACACGGTTCAGGCTATTGAGGCTTTTGAAGAGAGAAGGTCGATGAGTCTTTTGGTGGTGGAATGTTGGATTTTGGTGATTGGAATTGATCACAAGTTGACCTGGAAATGGTGACTGCATAAACCCTAATTGCTCGATTGTCGGCGACTGGTGAGGTCGGCAGGTGTAGGGTTTGAGGGATTTTAGTGAGTGATGATCGAAGAAGAGAATGGTAGTAGTTTGGGGTTATAACGATGTCGGAATTAGAAATGGAATATAAATTTAAGTAATAAAATTGTATTTTAAAAGTCTATGGATGAGAAAATGTCATTGAACCATTATTTTGGTGAGAAAATGTTGTTTACTCTATTTATCTATCTTACAAACAAAATTTATAAATAAATAATATTACACGTCTTAACAGATATTTTAAAATGATATGTTATTCTATATTATTAATAGATGAATAAAACTATAATTTGATACACATTATTATAACCCTAATTGGCATAATACATTATTAAAATAATTATTACGTCAACTTAAAAACTTTCAAATTTTGTATAAACAAATTTTGCCGATTATGTAATTATGGTATTATTCTTAAACAATGCCTTAAAAAGCAAAATTAGAAATTAGATAGTCAATTACTAAAAAACACTTTTTACGGCGCCGAACACGCGAAAATCATCCACTAGAAAGTTGACAAGTCAGCTGGTGAGAGCGAGGCTGCGAGCCATGAACCGATGGCCACGGCGTGACCACAAACGGATTAATTTGGATAATGTGGTGGACCCGGAAACGGTCCAATCAGAAAATCTCATCAGGCGGTCCCACACCGTACTAAGACCCACGTGGCAAGCGTGGATATCATGAAAATGTCTGATTCCGAATCTAGGGCATGTTGGACTCGTGAGCGTTGCTCGGTGCAGGGCAAAAGTTAGATTTGACTCCCTTCACGTGATTTAGAACCCTCTCGTTCTGTACTTTGTTGACTTTCTTTATCTGTTTTGTCAATAATTAATTAATTTTGACATTTTTCTTTTCGTTTAATTGATGCATTAAATCTTTTAACAATTTGGACTTAAAACGTTTTATTTTATTAAAATAATTTTTTGATATTTCCAAAAATATTCTTAAACAAAACATTTTAATGTTTGGCTCAATAAAAATGTTTTTTTAATTAAAACATAATTTAAAATGTAAAAACACTTTTAAACATGTGATACAAAGAGTGTATTTTTCTTACTAATTTTATAGTTTTTATTAATTCAATCATACCTCTATCTAATTTAGTAGAAATTGTCAATTCTGTATTCAGACATACATGAGTTTGTTTTTGAGCTTCCTATAACATCTACAAACAAGTCAAGCTCAAACTTGCACATATCAAGTCGAGTCGAGAATAATAATACTAGAACCAAACAACTCTTGAGCTCAACATATTACATAATATTTGAATTTTGTATTAAAATATATAAGTTAAAATATTATTAATATAATTAAAATAATTTTATATTAATAAATAAAAAATATTACATATAATAAAGTTGAGCTAAAGCTTTAACTATTTCAATTGAGCTAGCTCGAAGTTTTCAATACTCGGCTCGATTATAGCTGTACATAGTATATACAATCATTTTTCATCTAGAACTAGCTGTACATACAACTGTTCTTCATCTATAACGTGTTTACTAAATTACAATGAATTTTTGGTGAAAAACAAGAGTTATCATATGAAATATGATTACATAGAATCAAAAGTAAACTCTCACATATTTAGACTCCGAACAAACAATTTCTATTATATAAATATGGCAATTATAGTGATAATTTATATTTTATGATAAAAAATTTATAAGGAAAGGACTGGTTATCTCTGCGTGTTTGGTGACTTTAACTTAGAAGTGTAGTTGAGTCATTAGTGGTCGGTTTCCTTAGTTGGTAGGTAAAACTGCATTAAAAATTCACATTGGTTATAAATGAATGTCCCCAATTAATTATATTTAATATTTATTTATTTGATGAAAATGACCACAATTATTTTTTTATTCTTGTTTTAATTGCTAGCACGACTCTAGAATTTGCATTCATTTTCCAACAAAAGGATTGACTGGCCTAAAAAATTCATGAAATATGAACAAAATACTACCCTTTGAATTCTCAATTCACAAATTTATTTGTCAATTTTTTTAANAACAAACAATTTCTATTATATAAATATGGCAATTATAGTGATAATTTATATTTTATGATAAAAAATTTATAAGGAAAGGACTGGTTATCTCTGCGTGTTTGGTGACTTCAACTTAGAAGTGCAGTTGAGTCATTAGTGGTCGGTTGCCTTAGTTGGTAGGTAAAACTGCATTAAAAATTCACATTGGTTATCTGTGAATGTCCCTAATTAATTAAATTTAATATTTATTTATTTGATGAAAATGACCACAATTATTTATTTATTCTTGTTTTAGTTGCTAACACGATTCTAGAATTCGCATTCATTTTCCAACAAAAGGATTGACTGGCCTAAAAAATTCATGAAATATGAACAAAATACTACCCTTTGAATTCTCAATTCACAAATTTATTTGTCAATTTTTTTTAATGATGTAATATTAATATATAAAAAAATATATTTATTTGTTTTCTTATAAATAACTTTTACTGATTAACACAGTATTATGTTATTTAGAGAATTTAGTATTTCACTCGTGGGTACATGCAAATGTTATTTTCTAAAATATAGATGTTATACTTCTAAAAACTTGGAAAGCATAAATACAAGAGTATGAATCATATGTTAAACATTTTTATTTATTGATTCGTGACATCCAAGAATATTATTTTGACAATTTTTTCAGTTTCGTAAACACGTTTAATATTTATTTTTCATGTTAAATCAACGTTTTTCATGATCATAAAAATTAGATAATTTTTTTTTCTGCTGCTAAAATCCAAGGTACTGTAGATTAAATTGGGTATATATGTCTTGCAACTGAAAAATAAAACACACAAATTTTTTTAATAATTATTATTACTTTTTAATCCTATTATTTAGTCCAACATAAGACCGTACAAAAAAATTCAGCAAGAAAAACGCGACACGTTAGTCATCCGACCAAGCAACACGATGTATGGACGCTAGTACTTTAATCAAATTCACTTGAGTTCACGCTTCGATTCCGCGACAACTTTCAGCTTCTAGAATTAAGTCTTCTGCTTCTGTTCTCTTTCTATCATACGCCATCAGCCAATGGAATGTTGTAACGTAATCGTCAGATGAAACTAAACCCCATCATTATCGGTCAACACGAATGCAAAGGTGTTCGCGTCACACTGGAAAACGGCCGAAAGATATCGTGTACTGGTCTTATCAGAAAGTTATAACACTGATAGCTTATCAGTAAAATGATATGTTAATGTACTTATCAGTGATAAGTCAGTAAGAAACAAAGAGCCTGCAAAACGCATCGAAGAAAGCGAGAACAAGTCATCTCTCTCTTCTTTATCTTTTTCTTTTATATTGGCAGCTTTTCTTTTATTTTCGTTCGTTTCTTTTTCTCTCTACTGTTCTCGTTGAAAGTGTAGCATGGAAATGCAAACCCTAGAAACCACAAGCTTTCCTACTTAGAAACACCACAGACGCCGTCGTTTTCACCTTTCACCTCCTTCTCAGCTGAATCGAGTCAAAGCCTAAATCTCTGCCCAAAACAAGAGGTTTAAGTATTATTTAGCTGAATAAGTTTCGTTTTTGAGCAAAATATGTCGTCTTTGAGCAGAGAATTAGTGTTTTTGATTCTTCAATTTCTGGAGGAGGAGAAATTCAAGGAGTCTGTGCACAGGTTAGAGTTTTTGTTTTTTGTGTTGGTGTTTTGGTTTTGGTTTTGGTTTTGTGTTTTTGTTTAATTACCGTTTGATTGATTTTTGTCGGTGGTGATTAATTAGGCTGGAGCAAGAGTCGGGGTTTTTCTTCAACATGAAGTACTTTGAAGAGAAAGCGTTAGGTGGAGAATGGGACGAAGTTGAGAAGTACCTCTCTGGATTTACCAAAGTTGATGATAATCGTTACTCTATGAAGATTTTCTTTGAGATAAGGAAGCAAAAGTATCTAGAAGCACTTGATAGGTACTTTATTTTTTTTCTATAGTTGATATTTTATTTTAAGTGCTCGTTTTTGGTCCTTGTGATTTATTGTTGTTTTGAAAAATTTGATCAGGCATGATAGAGCAAAAGCTGTTGAGATTTTAGTCAGGGATTTGAAAGTTTTCTCCACATTCAATGAAGAGCTCTACAAGGAAATTACGCAGCTTTTAACTCTGGAGAACTTCCGGTAAGTTCTGTTTTGTTTTTAAGTTACCTTAATTATCCATATGTTTGGAACTTGAAATATTTTTCAACTGATTATCTGTTTCAATCCAATGATTAAGGTTTAAATTAAAAGAAAAGTGAAATTTAGCATTATCAACTCAGGAACTCTCCAAATAGAGCAGTATCACTTTTGTTATTAGAAGTCGTGGAATATGTGGATTCACAATTGCTTGTAGATTTAGCGATTGGGTGTTGGTTAAATGCAGGGAAAATGAGCAGTTATCTAAATATGGTGATACAAAATCAGCTCGAAGCATAATGCTGGTAGAGCTTAAAAAGCTGATAGAAGCTAATCCTCTGTTCCGGGACAAGCTTGGTTTCCCAACTTTGAAGGCGTCGCGCCTCCGAACTTTGATAAATCAAAGGTAAGTTTTTATCTTTCTATATTTCCACATTATTGAAATTCCATTTTGGTATTTTCTTTGTAATTTATTTACATATTTATGTTTGTAATATATATTTTATGACCAAAACCAATGTAAATATGTTTGCAAAGTGTTAATATGTAGTATTTGCAGTTTGAATTGGCAACACCAGCTGTGTAAAAATCCTAGGCCCAATCCTGACATCAAAACACTATTTACGGACCACTCGTGCTCACCTCCAAATGGGGCTCGTGCACCTACTCCTGTCACTCTTCCAGTTGCTGCTGTTGCAAAGCCTTCAACTTATGCTCCACTTGGAGCACATGTAGGAGTATGATCATATCCTCTCAACTGACTTTGAATTCTCACCAATAAGAAGTCTTTCTAATAATATGAGATTGGGATGTTTTCTTTTGGTCTTGTCATACAGCCATTTCCACCAGCTGCTAGTGCTACTGCTTTAGCAGGCTGGATGGTCAATGCCAATCCTCCCTCAACTGTCCAATCATCAGTAGTGGCTGCATCGTCATTGTCTGTTCCACCAAATCAAGGTAAGGTGGTAATTATAATTGGCAATTGTACTTTACTGGTTTTACAACCAAAATCCAGTTTTTTTTTTTTCCCCTCTCAAAGGGATCATCTGAAGCACAGAACCTACTTCTGATTATATGAGATTTTACCTGGGTGGTGCTGATATTGTACTTTCTCTTTAACAGTTTCTGTTTTAAAGCATCCAAGAACACCTTCAAATGCACTGGGAATGATTGATTATCAAAGCACTGATCATGAGCAACTAAAGAAACGTTTGCGCTCTTCACAGTCTGTTGATGAGGTATTCTTGCAAAGTTTACATAGTTTGCATGCATCGCAAAGCATATGCTTTATGACACTTTATCATTATTCTCTAGATCCTCTACTATTAATTTCAATTTGATGTATTCAGGCCACATATCCTGTTCCTACTCAACAAGCTTCATGGTCCCTTGAAGACCTGCCAAGAACTGTAGCTTGTACCATGCATCAGGGTTCCACTGTAACAAGCATGGATTTCCATCCTTCTCATCACACATTACTTGCGGGTAAGTTGGATGTCAGCATTTTGCTCTGTTCCTTCCATAANCTTTTGGTCTTGTCATACAGCCATTTCCACCAGCTGCTAGTGCTACTGCTTTAGCAGGCTGGATGGTCAATGCCAATCCTCCCTCAACTGTCCAATCATCAGTAGTGGCTGCATCATCATTGTCTGTTCCACCAAATCAAGGTAAGGTGGTAATTATAATTGGAAATTGAACGTTACTGGTTTTATAACCAAAATCCAGTTTTTTTTTTTTTTTTTTTTTTTTTTCCCCTCTCAAAGGGATCATCTGAAGCACAGAACCTGCTTCTGATTATATGAGATTTTACCTGGGTGGTGCTGATATTGTACTTTCTCTTTAACAGTTTCTGTTTTAAAGCATCCAAGAACACCTTCAAATGCACTGGGAATGATTGATTATCAAAGCACTGATCATGAGCAACTAAAGAAACGTTTGCGCTCTTCACAGTCTGTTGATGAGGTATTCTTGCAAAATTTACATAGTTTGCATGCATTGCAAAGCATATGCTTTATGATACTTTATCATTGTTCTCTAGATCCTCTACTATTAATTTCAATTTGATGTATTCAGGCCACATATCCTGTTCCCACTCAACAAGCTTCATGCTCCCTTGAAGACCTGCCAAGAACTGTAGCTTGTACCATGCATCAGGGTTCCACTGTAACAAGCATGGATTTCCATCCTTCTCATCACACATTACTTGCGGGTAAGTTGGATGTCAGCATTTTGCTCTGTTCCTTCCATAAGCCGTTGTTGATTGTAACTTCTTTGATGGAGCTACCAAGCAAATATACTTTCTTCACTGACTTAGATATATATGTTTATCGATAGTTGGTTGTGGAGATGGTGAAATTACTCTATGGGAAGTTGGGTTGCGTGAGAGGCTGGTTTCCAAGCCATTCAAGATATGGGAATCGTCAAATTGTTCTATGCCGTTGCAGGTCGTTTCATTGAATCACAATAGTTTAAGTTCTTAATTTCAAAATTTTTAATCAATTGCATCATGCTTGACCTAAATTTATGTTTTTCTTGTGTTGGTCTTTGTAATGGTTGGACTATATTACTGGAAAAAATTAACTTCTAGTTGCAACCTCCACTATAAAGACGATAAACTTTTCTGACCTATTAGGCTATCCAGGTGAATCCTATTGCAAGATAGGTGTGCATGAGTACTTGAAACTATGACAGCATTCTCTGCTGTTTTTGCTTGTTGTACTATGACGGCATTCTCTGCTACTATTGCTGCATATCAAATCAATGATGTTTTTATGAGCCCAATTGGGATGACTGGATTAATTTTATTTGTTTGTTCCTTTTCTGGTAAAAAAATATACCTTCAAAAGTTGAATAAATACAGCTTGCACTCCCTTATCATGTTTTTCTTACAGGCTGCTATTGTAAAAGATTCATCAATATCTGTCAGCCGTATAGCATGGAGTCCAGATGGAAATTTGATTGGTATGTCAGCAATTTATATGTGGCATGAAATTGTTGCATGTTGAATTTCTTGACATATGTCCTTGATTCTTTTAATTTAATTTTTGTTGGTGCAGGGGTTGCGTTTACAAAACATCTGATCCATTTGTACACTTATCAAGGGTCTAGTGAATTAGGCCAACATTTAGAGGCATGTTTTGTTTTATTTTTTGCTACCTTTTCAACAAGGCATTTTTTCGTAACCATAAACTGATATTTGGCTTCCACTTTTTGGCAGATTGATGCTCATGTTGGTGGTGTAAATGACATAGCCTTTTCTCATCCTAACAAACAACTTTGTATTGTAACTTGTGGAGATGATAAGTTAATAAAGGTGAGGTTAAATTAAACCAGTCTGGATTTATTTTTATTTTCTCTTTCATTGGTTCTCCTTTTTTTCTGAATTATTAAGCCATAATTACAGGTTTGGGATTTGTCTGGAAGAAAACTTTTTCACTTTGAAGGCCATGAGGCACCTGTTTATTCTGTTTGTCCCCACCAGAAGGAAAATATTCAAGTAAGACCACTCCTATAAATTGGATTTGGTTAGTAAATGTAGCATATAAAAATCAATATTGATTTTCGCTTGGCCTGTTATATTCCTTGGAAGCTGATATGGGGATAAAATATTTGTGAATCAAACGAGAAATTCCCATGAGCTTTTTTATCCATCTTTCCCCTGAATTATGTTGGTTGAACAACTTGTGCTCTATTTAAAGTGTTGGAGTTTCAAAATGGTCCTTGCTTTTCATGCTTGTTATTTTTGCCACATTTATAAGTCGGGATTTCTTTAACAGTATAGTTGGATTCAAGTGTATTAAGCACGATATGCGTTTGAATGAGCACAGAGAATTTTCTTCAAACGTGAAGCATTTTGTTGCAAAGGAGTTGGGCACTGATATTTTGGTTTTCAACTCAACTTTTCAGTTTATATTTTCAACTGCTGTCGATGGGAAAATTAAGGCTTGGCTGTATGATAATATGGGCTCCAGGGTTGACTATGATGCTCCTGGGCTGTGGTGTACTACTATGCTCTACAGTGCTGATGGTAGTAGGTAAGTGATAAGTAAGCCTTTAGATATGTTCGTGAATATGGTGAATCATAATTGAGATGTAAGCATCCTTTCTCGGAATTCAGATTGTTCTCCTGTGGGACAAGTAAAGATGGGGACTCATTCCTTGTTGAATGGAATGAAAGTGAAGGAGCCATAAAGAGGAGTTATATTGGCTTCAGAAAGAAATCTGCTGGTGTAGTGCAATTTGATACAACAAGAAATCGCTTTTTGGCTGCTGGTGAAGATAACCAGATAAAATTTTGGGATATGGACAACACCAATATGCTCACAAGTACTGGCCGAGGGTGGACTTCCGGTCAGGATCTTGACATTTATTTACTATTTCCTTACTGGTTTTCTAGTTGTAATCGTCAGATGTTTCTGTTTTGCATCTATAATCTGATATCATTTATTGGTTGCTTCAGAGTCTTCCCTAGTTGAGATTCAACAGGGAAGGAAATTTGATTATAGTTACTACAGCTGGCAATGGACTTAAGATGCAAATGCTGATGGTCTGAGAGCCTTTAAAGCAATGGAAACACGAACTTATGAAACGTCCAAAGGAACCACTGAGATGAAGGTATTTTTATTCTGTTCCTGGAGTACCTGAACCCTCTTGCTTTAATTTGAACTTCTATTTATCTTGATTTGTTGAATTTTCATGGATCAGGTTTCTAGTTCTACTGTGGTTACAAGCATCAGTCCAGTTATTAGTAAAGTGGAATGTGTAGACAAAAGCTCCCCTGTCAAGCCCACTCCTATAATCGTATGCTATACAAATGACTGGAATCTAATTTTATTATCTTTTTAAAGCTTACCATTAGATTATTTACAACTTTTCATGCAATGGATTGGCCTGTAAACTTAAAGTATCAATGATTATTGTATTGCGTCTTGTTTAAAAGATTTAACTAGCAATATGACCTCATGCTATTTTTTTAGTTGTTTCTGATGTATTGAACAGTTTCTTTTGTACTACCATCTAATTTTGAAAAGTGTTCATTCTAGAATGGAGTTGAATCCATAGCTACAGGCATAGAAAAGCCAAGGAATGTGGAGGAGGTATCCGATGAAGCCAAGCCTTGGGAACTGACTGAGATTGTCAATCTTGTTCAGTGTCGGGCAGTCACCATGCCAGAAGGCACTGATTCTGCTTGCAAGGTTTTGAGAACAACTTCGTCCTGATGCTTTTCTTGAAAAAGATATGAAACATTAGATGCCATAATAGCACCTAAGTGGTAAATCTAATAATAATTACATCATTCTTATGAAGGCTGCTCGACTTCTTTACACAAATTCTGGTGTTGGCATTCTGGCCCTAGGGTCAAATGGGGTTCAGAAGCTATGGAAATGGGGCCGCAGTGAACAGAATCCTGGTGGAAAGGTAATTGATCTGTTCGTTTTTATGATGCTGGTTGTGCAAAGAAGAAGAAAGATAAAAACTGAAAAATTGGACGTATTTTTCATTAGACAAAAGTCTGCATATAACATACTTCCACTTACTGTTTCAACAACCATCAGAGACTTTTCCTTAATCTCAGCTAAACCACTAAAAAAACTAACAACTTCATTACAAAAAAGCTGAGCCAATAAATACAAGGATTAACATTAAATTACAGTAGAACTTAAACCACTGAATCGTGAAGCACTCCCATGCACATCCATGCAAAGCAAAACTTTTTTCAGGTTTTCATACATTTGGCAAACCAAACTTCCAGCACAGCATCAACCTTCAACACTCCACCTTGGTGCTTTGGCTGGAAACACCAAGTTTTAGCCTCAAGGCTTCAAACTTGGATTTGCATAATGCCTTTGTCATGATGTCTGCAACTTGGTCTTCCCCTCTACAGTGAACTAAGTTCACTTCTCCACACTGTTTAGCTTCCCTAACAGCATGATACTTAATCTTAATATGCTTTGTTCTGTCGTGAAGTACAGGATTCTTTGCCATTGCTACAGCCGACTGGTTATCACATAGAATCAAGGTAGGATCCATTTGCATTTGCTGTAAGTCATTTAGCATCTTCCTAAGCCACACAGCCTAGTTCACAGCTGCTGCGGCAGATACATATTCAGCTTCAGCAGTAGACTGTGCCATAGTTTCCTGCTTCCTTGACAGCCAACTGATTGCACCCTCATTCAGGTAGAACACATAACCAGAGGTGCTTCTTGCATCATCCAGNTAGCAAATAAGTATTTTTTATGTCATATTTTGTAATTTTAATAAAAGATAAAATTGTAATTAAGGAAAAGAGTTATTAGGGTTTAATATATAAGATAAAAATTGGGAGGCCAATAACATTGTAAAGATCAGAGAGAAAAGTTGAAAATTCTGGAAAATTGATTCTCATATATGGATTAATTGATAAGTGAGTGTTTACAAAGCTCATTTATACGGTAGAGCTTCACGAGAGTAAAGTAAGAGAGTGAGCTAAACTGAGTAAGTAGCTTAAGCAGCTTAATTGCAATATTTGACAGTTATACTGAAACAACGTCGTTTCAGTAATGTTACAAAGAAGCCCATGCCTTTTGATGGTTAGACAAATTAGTCCTTTTTAACTAACTTATACTTACATTCGCCCTTGAACTAGACTAGGTGTGTCTTGAGCATTTTACCAGTTTGTTTGGCCCGTATACTAACATTCTCCCTTAAACTAGACTAAGTGATTCTTGGCTTCTTTTGCTATGACAAACTCTTCGTAGATTCTTCAGGCCCTGTATAAACAGGCACAATTGCTTATGTGCAATCTTCAGCTCGAATTTGCACATTCAGCAGCTTTATTTTTTGTCTAGCAACTTCTAGCTCAAGAACTGTAAAACTTCGGTAACTTTAACTGCTCAAGAACTTTAAAATTTCAGCAACTTCAGCAGCTCAACAACTATAAAACTTTAGTAGCTCAACCATTGAAAACTTCAGCAACTTCAGCTTCAGTAACTTCAATAGCTCAACGACTGTAAAACAGAAAAGCTATGTTCGTTTTTATGATGCTGGTTGTGCAAAGAAGAAGAAAGATAAAACTGAAAAACTGGACATATTTTCATTAGACAAAAATCTGCATATAACATACTTCCACTTACTGTTTCAACAACCATCAGAGACTTTTCCTTAATCTCAGCTAAACCACTCAAAAGCTAACAACTTCATTACAAAAAAGCTGAGCCAATAAATACAAGGATTAACATTAAATTACAGTAGAACTTAAACCACTAAACCGTGAAGCACGTCCATGCAGAGCAAAACTTTTCAGTCTTTCATACATTCAGCAAGCCAAACTTCCAGCACAGCATCAACCTTCAACACTCCACCTTGGTGCTTTGGCTGGAAACACCAAGTTTTAGCCTCAAGGCTTCAAACTTGGATTTGCATAATGCCTTTGTCATGATGTCTGCAACTTGGTCTTCCCTTCTGCAGTGAACTAAGTTCACTTCTCCACACTGTTCAGCTTCCCTAACAGCATGATACTTAATCTTAATATGCTTTGTTCTGCCATGAAGTACAGGATTCTTTGCCATTGCTATAGCCGACTGGTTATCACATAAAATCAAGGTAGGATCCACTTGCATTTGCTGTAAGTCATTCAGCATCTTCCTAAGCCACACAGCCTGGTTCACAACTGCTGCGGCAGATACATATTCAGCTTCAGCAGTAGACTGTGCCACAGTTTCCTGCTTCCTTGACAGCCAACTGATTGCACCCTCATTCAGGTAGAACACATAACCAAAGGTGCTTCTTGCATCATCCAGGGATCCACCCCAATCACTGTCAGTGTACCCCATCAGCTTCAGACTTTCAGATTTCCTGAACCAGATGCCTAACATGCTGGTTCGTTTCACATACCTCAACACACGTTTGGCAGCTTTAAAGTGCAATTCACTTGGGTTGCTCATAAACCTTAAGAGATAACTTGCTGTGAACATAAGATCAGGTCTGGTGGCTGTATAATACAGCAGACTTCCCACTAAGCTTCTGTATTTCCCTTCATTAACCCTCTCTGCACCATCTGTTTTGCTTAATTTCAGGTTGGGAACCAGAGGAGTATTAACTGGTTTGCAATTCTACATTCCAAACCTTAAGAGAAGCTCGGTTGCATACCTTTGTTGACACACAAAAATCTCCCCAGCGGCCTGAGTTATTTCCATGCCAAGAAAGTACTTCATCAATCCCAAATCTGTCATTTCTAATTCAGTTTGCCTATCCAACTTGAACTGGTCCAATTCATCAGGATTACTCCCTGTCACCAACAAGTCATCAACATATAGAGAAACCACAGCCACTCCTTTCTCAGTTTTCCTAATGTAGAGAGTGTGTTCATTAGGACTTCTAGTATATCCAAGGCTGCATAAATGGTCATTTATTCGGCTGTACCAGGCTCTAGGGGCCTGCTTCAAGCCATACAATGCCTTCCTCAGTAGGTACACATAGTCCTCCTTTCCCTCAACCTTGTAGCCTTCGGGTTGCTCTACATACAGCTCCTCTGAAATCCATCCATTCAGGAATGCTGACTTGACATCCAGCTGGAAAATTTTCCAGTTGAACTGAGCTGCAAGAGCCAACAACAGCCTGATTGTGTCTTGCCTAGCAACCGCGGCAAAAGTTTCTGAAAAATCAATGCCTGGTTGCTGTGCAAAACCCTTCACCACCAGCCTTGCTTTATGCTTGTAAATTGAGCCATCAGGGTTGATTTTTAGTTTGAAAATCCATTTAACCTGAATGACTTTTCTTTTTTCAGGTCTTGGTACCAATTTCCAGGTTCGATTTTTATTGATCATGCTCAATTCTTCCTGCATTGCAGCCCTCCACAATTCAGATTTTGCAACATCAAAATAGCATCTTGGCTCCACCACTGCCACATTGCACCTTTCATACACATCCGTCAGAGTTCTTGTTCCTCTAACAGCATGATCATCTTCCTCATCTAAATCTGCCTCTTGAATCAGTCCCTCTCTTCTCCTATTCTGACTTGATTCAGCCTGCACATCAACCCTTTTTTCTTCCTAATTCCAGACTCCACATTCATCAACCTTTATGTCCCTTGTGATTACAATCCTTTTGGACTCAGGAACATAAACTCTATAAGCTTTAGAGTTGCTACTGTAGCCTACAAATATCCCAATTTCTACCTTGTCATCCAACTTGGACCTTTTGCTGGCTGGGATCATCACATAGGCTATGCTTCCAAATTCTTTCAGGTTCCCTACTGTTGGCTTGACTCCCCTCCATGCCTCAATTGGTGTTTGATGTTTGACTGCCCTGGTGGGCAGCCTATTCAGCAGGAAAACTGCTGTATTAACAGCTTCTGCCCAGAACACTTTAGGGAGGTTTTTTCCAGCCATCATACACCTGGCCATTTCCATAATGGTTCAGTTTCTTCTTTCACAAACACCATTCTGTTGAGGGGTGTATGGTGCTGTGAACTGCTGCTTTATTCCAGCTAGGCTGCAGACTGTCTTGAACTCATTTGAAGTGTACTCTGTTCCATTGTCTGTCCTTACTGCTTTGATCAAGGTTCCAGCTTCATTCTCCACTAGCAACTTAAATTGTTTGAACACAGCAGCCACTTCATTTTTCTGCTTCAAGAAATAAACCCAAGCCACCCTTGAGAAGTCATCAATGAAAAGTACAAAGTACATGTTGCCATTTAAGGATCCTGTCTTCATTAGACCACACACATCCGAGTGGATCAGTTGCAGCTTGTGACTTGCTCTCCAGGCTTGATCCGAAGGGAATGATGGCCTACTAAGTTTGCCAAGTTGGCAGACTGTGCACAAAGTCCTTTTCTCTTCTATCTCGGGCAGGTCTAATACCATGTCCCTTGACTTGAGTTCTTTAATTCCAAGATAATGAAAATGTCCAAGTCTTCTATGCCATAACTCAGACTCTTCAACCTTGGTGATTAATGCTGAGTTTTCTGGTTTTTTCCAGTCTAGAGGAAAGCTTTTACCAAGCATCCTTACACTCAACAACTCATTTCCCTCACTATCCTTTATAATGCAAGAATGGTTTTGGAAATGCAAGGTATAATTTCTCTCTAACATTTGACCTACACTTAACAAATTTTGTGCAATTTCAGGTACAAAAAGAACATTAGAAATAACCTTAGTTCCTGCCTTAGTTTGGACTGCCACATCTCCAATCCCTCTTGCTTCTACATAGTCACCATTTCCAATCTTAACCTTGGAGCTGTATGTCCTGTCCAACCTAACAAAATTCTCCACATTTGCTGCCATGTGGTTGGTGCATCCGCTGTCTATCAGCCAAACATCTCTACAGGTCTGCATTGAGTAGCATGAAGCTACAAACAGCTGTTCTGATTCACTCATCTGCTGCTGTTCATCTGCACTTTGTGCTTGCTGTGGTGGCTGTGCAGCCCTGTTCCTGCACACTTTCTCAATGTGGCCGAATTGCTTGCATCCCCTGCATTGAATCCTAGGCCTGAACCAGCACTTGCTGTCCGGATGTCCCTTCTTTTTACAGTGGGAACATGGTGGATAATTTCTTCCTCCACTCTGTTTTCCCCACTGTCCACCAGCTCTCTCTTTTCCTCTCTTATCCCCAGCATATCTTCTATTACTTCCCTGCATATTCACTCCCTTTTGAGCAGTCAACATAGCACCTTCATTTGAGTCCTCCTGCCTCATCAACCTTCTTTGTTCTTAGGCCTGCAGGGCATGAACCAATTCGGTGAGGCTGATTTGGGAGAGATCTTTTGAATCTTCTAAGGAAGATATCTTGGACTCAAACCTTTAAAGAAGGCTGACTAACACATTATCAACTATCATCTTGTCACTCATCTCAACTCCCAACAATCTGATTTTGTTCACCACACTCATGAGTCTATCTACATACTCTTTAACCTTCTCTACCTCCTGGATCCTCAGCATTTCAAACTCCCTGTGCAGGTTCATGACTTGCATGTTACGGGTTGTATCACTTCCCATGAACTCTTCTCTTAGTCTATCCCAAGCTTCCTTTGCAGTTTAACACGCCA